TGGCTGCTCCAGTTATCGCAGCGCCACTGGCAGCCCCTGCCCTCGCCACCCCTCTGGCCGCACCTGCCCTCGCCGCCCCAGTCATCGCCGCCCCCGCCTTAGCCGCCCCTCTTGCAGCCCCAGCTCCAGTTGTACTTCCGGCTCCACCCCCACCCCAGGACTGGTTCACGGCGGAGTTGGGCGCCCCACTGACGCTGACCACCGTGCACCGCCAGCGGCTCATCCCGATCCCGCACCCCGTGCCCGTCACCGTGCTTAACCGCGTCCCCGTCGAGGTACGCGTCCCCGTGCCCGTGCCCGTCGACCGCCCGGTCGAAGTCCCGATCCACAAGCCGTACACTGTCTACCGCGACGTTCCCGTCCCCGTGCCCGTCGAGAAGCCGGTGCCTGTCGAGGTTCGCGTGCCTGAGCAGGTTCCCGTCAACGTTCCCGTGCCGGTGGAGGTGCCTCAGCCTTACGAAGTGCCCGTTGAAGTGAGTCGGCAGGCCCCCGTCGCCGTGCCCGCCCCCGTGGCACTCGCTGCTCCTGCCCCTGTTCAGGTCGAGGCGTCGGCCCCAGCTCCCGGCCCCTGCGGCACTTGTGACTTTACCCCCATCCAAGCTCCAGCACCAGCCCCAGTCCATTACGAGGCCTCCGCCCCCGCCCCCGTTCAGTACGGGGCATCCGCTCCCTCCCAGTACGAGGGCGCCGCCTACGCTCCTGCCCCTGCCCCCATCCCTGCCCCCGTGCACTACGAGGCCTCCGCCCCTGCCCCCGTGCAGCACTACGGGGCCCCGCTCACCGCCCTCCGGGAAATTCCCGCTCCTCAGTTAGTGCCACAGCCAGCCGGGTACCTCGAGACCCACGAAGAGGAACGGTACGACGAGCAGGTCCATCATTAACACCCGTCGTGTTTCGTTCACGAGGCAAGCTGCCGAGTTATTTTATTTTGTTATTACCCCTCCAAGCTCTCATTGTTGACTAGTGTTTAAGAAAACCAAATGTTTATTGTTGTTTTGTTGCCAACAAGAGTCTGTGATCAATAAAGGCATCTAGTCAAGCCGAGCTTTTAGTAGTTCAATACACCCCCCTTCCCCCCGCCCCACCAACATGTTGTATCTACCTAAATACACCTTTCCATAACAAGGTACTCCAAAAGTGTAGCGGGAAAAGTACAGAACCAAAAGTTACAAATAGCAGCCAAAACTACATATGCACATATCAAAAAAAGTGTGTCTGTCATTCGCAATAGACAAACCTACAAGCTCTCGTAGCGCCTGCGAGGTAGGCAACATCTTGCATGCAGTGCATGCGTGCACTGCAGGGTGGCCTACTCTGAGTATCGCAGGCGCCAAGCTCTCGTAGTTTACTAAATGAATCGGAGAAGAGACGGACGGTTTTTCGGGACGATCCCATTTAAGAAACCATCCTGACGCTTTAGTCAAAATATAGCCCGAAAACCATGACGAAAGGACAGTTTCTCATACATTTTTCCCCTTTCGAGCTATGCACTCAGGAAAGCCTTGAAAGTCTTGCATCAAGATTTTTTTGCTTGAATGAAGGGCAAAATTAAATGGACTTGACCGTCTTGAAAGTAATCCGTACATTTATAAAGCCCGATTGGCACTCAAAAGAAGTTATTCAAATTCAAATTTTCTTGGTTTCGGTCGAAATTGGTCTTGATCTCGGTCTTGATTTAGGTGCCGAAGACAGCTAATCACTGTATGCATAATACAAGAACACGCCTTTTTGGATGTGGTATGTATAAGTTATTCGTTTCGGCTGGCCGGAGAAAAGCTTACACGTATTGTAAGAAAATCAACTTTATTTAATAAAATTATAACAGTGACGCGAAAATGATGACAAAATGAGAAATATGTACAAGATGAGCAGACTAGACTACCAGCTGGGAGGTGGTGAGTGGTGGTGGTGTTGGTGATGGTGAACGTGCTCCTTCACGTACACCGGCACTGGGTGCGGCTGATGGACGGCTTGGGGCACTTCGACTCGCACGGGGTAGGGCTGTGGCACGTCGACGGGCACGTGCACCTTCACTGGTACCTTGACGTGCACCTTGACAGGGTAGGGCACCTTCTTCTCCACGGTCACGGGCACTGGCCGGTTCACGTAGACCGGGTAGGGCTTGGGCACGTCCACCTGGACTGGGCGGTCGACGGGCACCTGAACGGGCACCGGCACCTGGACAGGCACTCGGGTCTCGTAGGTCACGGGGTAGGGCTGCGGGATGGCCACAGTCTGTCGGCGCTCGATGGTGGTGACGGGCACCGAGCCGTCCTGAACGGTGACCTGGGCGACAGGGGCGCCAGGGGCGTAGGAGACGGGGCCAGCCAGGCCAGCACCGGCGAAGCTGGGGGCCCCAGCCGTGTAGCTGGGGGCGACATAGCTGGGCGAAGCGTAGCTAGGAGCGCTGCCTGTGTAGGTTGGCGCAGGGTAGCTGGCGGAGGGGTAGCTGACTGAGGGGTAGCCGGCGGAGGGGTAGCTTACGGCAGGGTAGCTGGCTGAAGGGTAGCTTACGGAAGGGTAGCTGACTGAGGGGTAGCTGGATGAAGGGTAGCTTACAGAAGGGTAGCTGGAGTGAGAGACGCTTGCGGAAGGGTAGCTAGCATGTGAGTAGCCTCCGGAGGGGTAGCTGGTGGAGGGGTAGCTGGCAGCGGGGTAGCTGACGGACGGATAGCTGACGGATGGGTAAGAGGGCGCTGCGAACGACGCCGACGATGTATGGTACCCGTAGCCCTCGCCAAAGATGCCCCGCTTTCCTCTGTCGTCCTTGGAGTCCTTGGCGCCCTCGGCCTTCTTTGTCCCTTCGTCCTTCCTCTCCTCCTCCACGGCCGTCTTCTTCTCCGGGTTCGTCTTGGCGGCGGACACGGCCGCGGCCAGCAGAAGGATCACGCACTGCAACCACAAGAAAACATGACAAAGAATGCTCACTCCACGAGATGGTTTGCCACCCTGCCGCGCCTCCGCCTCCTCACCAAGAGCCTCATGTCGTCGCCGGAGTGCTGCCGTGGTCCCGGAGCGGAGGAGATGTTCGTTCTGACGGTCAAGTTCGCTCTACTTTGTATCTTATATAGCCGCGCCCTCCCCCCAGGACGATGGCGATGGCGATTTTGACACGAAATTAGTGGAGCTCATAGGCCTTGAACCGGGAGGGACGCGCGCGGGGCAGAGGCGATCACACACACTCACACACAATGAGCGGGATGCAACGCGCGCGAACCGCCCGCTGACCAATGGCCACAAAGCGCAGCTCGCCGATGTCGCGGGAGCCCTCCTTTTTTTCGCAATCACCCCGAAGAGATGACAGGCGACCCAGCGGGCGAGCCTCTACAGACTGACGCGTAAAAAAAAAGGGTAGCGACCGACACACACACACACACACACACACACACACACACACACACACTCGCGAACGACCGCTGCTAGATTGATCGCCGGCTGGGTGGGCGCGGGCCACCTGCTGCTGGGCCCATTTGGCTATCTTTGCCCACTGGCCAAGTCGAGTGCTGCCCGGGTCCTCCTCCGAGAAGGAGAGGGTGCCGAAGTTGTCCCGGCCCAGCCAGCCTCGAGCCCTGCGTCGAGTTACAGCCATGTGCATCTTTGGCATACACGTGCTTTTATCTCCGCAATGTTAAGGGGGGCCCAATCCAGAGAGGGAGGACGTGTGCCTTCTTGTCCCGCGCGAGAGAGGGAGCAGGACCCCCGCGCCGCCACCGCCTCGTCTCCTGGGTTGGACATTTATTGCTTTCGTTGGAGAACCGATGCCTGGCGATAGCATCTCCGCTGGTTGCACACTTCTCTCTCTGTCTTTGTCTCTTTCTCTGTGTATCTCCCCCCTTTTCTCTCTCTCTACCCCTCTCTCCCCCCCTCTCTCTCTCCCTCACCCCCGTCTCCCCCCCAATGGAATTTGTCCTGCCAGGGCGTGCCCGTGCCCGCCCCGCGCGGCCCGGCGGTGGCCGCGTGAGCAAGGGCGAGGGAAAACGTGGAAATAGAAAACAAGTTGGGAATTGGGAGTGTTTTGGAAGAGAAAAATAACTATTAAAAGATACACATTCTTTTTACTGTCGTCCATTTTTGTCTTGCGTTCAAAACTACCTTATATTGGTCCTACTTACGTGGTCGACGCAGATTAATAATGCCTAACTGAATCATCATCGGAGATGAACAGGGAAACGTATGACAAAACGTAAGCCGCGGGAACAGCAGGCCGCAGCAGGCGTAACTTATAACACCGTTTCGAAATTAATGGTGCTTAAAGTTTGTTGCTGCTCAAACTCTGTGTTTCAGGGCGGACCAGGGACCCGCATGATGTGCTCCCGCGGCTAGAGTGTCGTGTTCGGCTGCCTCCTCTGCTCTCTGCTCTCTGGGAAAAGCAGCAGCAACTACGGCTGATTTCCTCCGGGCGAATTGTTAAAGCAGGCTGCTCGTGTGTGCACCTTGCCGACGACTGAGCGCGCCGGGGTCGGGCGGCCCGGCCCGCGGACCTAGGAGCAGCAGAGACAGGCGGGCGCGGCTCCGGGGAGACGGGGGGCGCGGCTGTCCGGGTGTCAACAAGTGGCCATCCGAGTGTCGGGTGCCGGGTCCCACTGGCGGGCCTATAGGCCTGCTGCCGTCCGAATCCCCCCCCCCCTCCCTTGCTTATCCCTCTCCCTCCCCCTTCTCCCTTTCCCTTTGTCCTTCTTTAGTCAGACAGATCAGCAGGTGGCAGCGAGCGGTGGTTCACACGGTGGGAGCCGCGACAACACACTTCCACGTCGTGGAAATCAATACCGCACGACGCACACACGTGTCTATCTCGACGCAACCATTTCTTTTGTCGGACAACGAAATAGAGAGGAAAGAAATCATTCTACTCTGTCGTCCTAAAAATTCGCCAGGACTTTTTAATAAAGTATGAGAAGCAACGGAAAAAGAAGAGTAGCAGTTTCTCATATCGGCAGTGCAATATTCATAGGGCTTGTCCGTGACCGTGTCATTTCCTTTCTGGGTGAATAACGCCGCATTTGCATCAGCAGCAGGGCTGTCTAGGCGAGAGACGAGGACGTAACCTACAACATCTGCCCGCGATGTCCAGCGGGTCGTCCGACCCGGCCCGACCCGGCCTAGCCCAACTTTACATAACAATGTGTCGGCTGGGTGGCTGGCTGCTCCGGCTGGCCGCCGCCGCCGCGGAGCTTTCATCTCCACTTAATGGAGTTCGAGAACGGCATAAAAAATATCCGGGGGACACAGGAGGCGGCAGGGGGACAGCGGCGGCGGGCCTGACCTGCATGTGCGCTCCGCGAGATACGTCGCTGTGGCCTCGCGCGATCGGCCATACATCACGGGCTGACTCAACTCTGTCCAATTTTACCCGCCGTATCTTCCCTCCTGCGCGCGCAGCAGAGGGAAATTTAAATTAACATCAGAACTTGCCAGCGCGCTACCAGGGACGGGCAATGATATTACCTTTCTCTCTCTTTCGAGCCGTCTCTGTCTGTCTTTCACCCCCACCCCCCCACCCCGCACCCTCTCTCTCCCTATTCTCCACCCTGCCCCTAAAAAGTCTTGCACATAATTAAGGAGTGGGAAAGTAATAATGTTTCGTTCATTTCGCTGGTCCAAGTTTTCGATACGCGCTTTCGTTTTTTATTTAAGAACATTTAGAGTGTCTCATAGGATGAGACTGAGGACGCGAGAGCTTTCCTCGGGGTTCCCGGGGTTCCCTTAGGGACTCTGATGGGATGGCGACACAGCTTTGTCGCTGATGAGCTCGTCGTAGTCGTCCTCCTCCGCCACTACTTCTCTCCCCAGGTTGTCCCCGCCCGTCCCCGCCTCGCCCCGCGCCTCGCTCCGGTAGCGTCACAAAATATAGCGGAAGTCTATTGGCTGAGCCCGGACTGGCCTGGGCCCGGGCCGGCCGTCCGGCCGTGCCCCCGGTCCTGCTGCAGGTGACCCGCCGACTCTCTGACCAGGGTGGGGCTCCGCCGAATCCTCCGGCCGACGCGACGCGACGACGCACCGGAACCGTTTCGGGTCCCCACCAGAGAGGGGCCCGAGGATGACACCAACACTTTCAGTATAAAACGCGGGGCGGGTCAAGGATTTGGCATCAGTCGGCTCGCACCCGTCGATCGTCCCGCAAGCTCCCGCCAACACACGAGGCACCATGAAGGTCTTGGTAAGTTTTCGATTTTTTTTAAAAGTGCAAGTTTATGAAACTTCACCAATTTTATCTAAAATGTCTTTCAAATAACAAAACGTTCTTTCACTTTCCTTTTTGTCTACTTTGCGCAGGCACTAGTCCTTTTTGGCGTAGCCCTTGCCCTGGCGGCAGAGCGTCCACGGTACACACGCAACAAGCGCGGCAACCTCCTCGGCCTGCACCACGACGCCGGCTACGGCGGCCACGGCAGCCACGGCGGCTCCTACGACACCCTCAGCTTCAGCGGCCCCGTCAACAACGCCGTCAGCCTGAGCGACTCGCACTCGCACCACAGCTACGCCCCGGCGTTCTCCGCCCCCGCCCTCCCCGCCCCCGTTCTCCCCGCCCCTGCTCTCCCCGCCCCCAGCTACACCGAGGCCCACAGTCACCACAGTCACCACGACCACCACGACCATTCGCACAGCTTCTCTTCCGGAGCTAGCTTCTCCTCGGGGCCCAGCTACTCTTCAGGGCCCAGCTTCTCCTCCGGGCCTAGCTTCTCAGCAGGGCCTAGCTACTCCTCCGGACCTAGCTTCTCTGGTAGCCACGGTTTCTCCTCTGGCCCTAGCTTCTCCTCTGGCCCCAGCTTCTCCTCTGGACCAAGCTTCTCCTCTGGACCAAGCTACTCGTCTGGCCCCAGCTTCTCATCTGGCCCTAGCTTCTCTGCGCCCGCCCCCTCTTTCTCTGCGCCCGCCCCGTCCTTCCCCGCCCCCGGCCCATCTTTCGGACCGGCCTCCTTCCCTGCACCAGCACCGGCACTCCCCGCGCCCGTCGTCACCGAGACCGTGTCCTCAGCCCAGGTCCCCGCTAACATCCCCGCGGCCGGCACCGTCATCTCCAAGAGCGAAGCCGTCGTCAACGCGGTGACCATCCACAAGGACGTCAAGATCGGCGTGTCCCAGCCCGTGCCCGTGCCTGTCGAGAAGAAGGTCCCGTACCCAGTCCAGGTGCCTTACAAGGTCCCTGTTGACCGTCCTTACCCTGTGCACGTCGACAAGCCTTACCCCGTGCACGTTCCCCGCGACGTGCCCGTGCCCGTCGTGAAGGAGGTGCCTTACCCGGTCCAAGTCGAGGAGAAGGTCCCTGTGTACGTGCACGTCCACGTCCCGCGCTACCGCCCCGTGCCCGTCCCTCACTACGTGCCCAAGCCCGTCCCCGTCCCCGCCCCCTACCCCGTCACCGTCCTTGTCAAGGAGCACATTCACCAGAAGGGAGGCTGGTGGTAAACAAGATCCAATTCTAGGTTCTTCGCCAATTTGTTAGTCTCACCTAGCTCATATTTGTCACCCTCTTCACCCACCCCATTTACTCTTGAACTGTGATTGTCATCTTAGGTTTTCATCCCTTTTTATTTTAGTCTAGTCAGCTGTGGAGCTCCCTGTTATCTAGTCGAGGTTGTTGTCGCGCTTACACAAAAAGTGCCATCCAGTAACAAGCTGGATTTAAATAAATACTTGTTGAATATAACTGTTGAAACGAAATGTTAAATAAACAATGCTGAAAACATATTTCTTAGTTGCTATTAGTTGTTATCCTAACACATGACGAGTTTTACAATAAACCTATCAGATGTTATGTAGGCAACATCATTGCGTTTTGTTCTAATCAAAGAAAACATGGAAAAACATTCGATTTACAACAGTGAAAAGGAATAAACCCTACGATTTTGTAGGCGAGTCGGCATATATGAAGCTTTTATGTTGGGAACTAACATGCTTATATATCAGTTGACTTAACAAGGTTGGGCAGGAACCGATAAGTTTGCATTCCTTTCTACTCTCTTTTCTATGTTACTGGAATGCACTAAGAAAATACTCGAGGAAACAAACAACAAACACTCACAGCGGTAAAATAAAGTGTATGAATGTCGTAGACTTATAGGCGTGTAAATTACATATTGTAAAATGACCGTTCACAAATTTGCGGAAAACAATGGACAATGAACACCTTCAATTGAAGTTTAGTGTGAATCAGATTTTACACAACGGCAAGTGTGCGACAAACATACACTGAAGTTTCCACTGCAGGCGTGCCAACCACCCGCTCCCACCCCCACCCCCAAGCTCCAATCAAAGGTAGGATGCTGCAAACAGACATACTCTATAAAATTGGTACCGCGGGCGACTTACCTTGTTGAAGATGATCCAGCCGAGGCGGTGCAGAAGACCACACTGTCGTCGTGTGAAGCGCCTGGAAGGTAGGCAATGCCCCGCGGTGCACGGCGCTCGCGTGCGTTTGTGGCCTACCCCGTACTATCGGCAGGGGCTCTGTACTAGTCCTCAAGGCGGGAAGAAGCTAGCTGGCGGTACCGTTTATAAAAGTAACTAATGAAGGTGCTCATCTATTTTCATCAATTAGAATAAGAGAGGTAATTAAATAAGAGAGAAAACGGAGAAAATGTTGTTAGCTACATTCTTTTATTATCTTGCTAAAAATATCAACAAAACAAACAAAAACTTAATAGAACAATGTTAATAACAATATTGGCACTTTGGAAGGACTACTCTACCTGGGAGCACACTTGGACTAGATTGCCAGCAAATTTATAGACTAGACTTTTTTGACATAGTAATCAAGTAATGAATCGAATTTAAAGCGAATGAGCAAAAGAATAATCGAAATGAAATGAATGAACGATGAGGATCACAGACGAGGAGCGTGCGAGCATGCGCAGCGCGTTGGGGCATTCGCCCGGGCTCACCACCAGCCGCCCTTCTTCCAGATGTGCTCCTTGACGAGGATGGTGACGGGGTACGGCGCGGGCACGGGCACGTGCTTGGGGATGTAGTGGGGCACGGGCACGGGGCGCCAGCGAGGCACGGGCACGTGCACGTGGACGGGCACGTGCTCAACGTGCTCCACGGGGTAGGGCACCTCGTGAACCACCTCGACGGGCACGTCGCGGTACACGTGCACCGGGTAGGGCTTCTCCACGGGCACGGCCACCGGCCTGTCGACGGGCACCTGGACGGGCACCTCGACGGGCACGGCGACGGGCCTGGGGACGGGCACGGGCACCGGGTGCCTGACGGCCACCTTCACCGCCTTGTGGAAGGTGACGCCCGTGAGGTGGGGCTTGCCGTGCGCCAGGATGGGCTGGCCGTTGGGCGCCAGGTGGAAGTCGTGGTGGGCGTGGTGGTGCGCGTAGTGCGCGTGGTGGGCGTGGTGGTCCAGGTGGGCGTGTGCCACCGGGACGTGGTCGACATGCACGTCATCCGTCACCGCTGTTTCCGTCTCCGAGTACACTCCCAGGCCGAGACCGCCCCTCTTGTGACGTCCTCCACCGTTCTGCGCCGAGACGAGGGCAACGCTAAGAAGGATAAGTGCCTGCGGGAGTTGAAGCGCACGAATCAGTTCGAGTGTTTGACGGAGCCAAGCCCCGTATGAGTTGCCTAAAGCCCTCCGACAGCCGGCGACCCTACAAATGGACCCCACCCCACTCCTCCGACCCCTTTCCCGTGACCCTGATCTGTGCTGATTTCCCCGATGGCAGTCAACTTCATTCTACCGCGATTGCACCCCCTGCCCTGCTCTCACTACCACGTTTTCAAACGTTGTGCCCCGCTCGAGTCTCTACTTCCACTTTCATCACAAGTTTTACTCTTACTGCTTTTTGAAAGCCAGAAAAGGAATCGAATGATATGGGAATCAACGGTTTGGCTGTCAACGCCGCGAGGTACACCCCCCCCCTCCTTTTTCGAGAACCAATAAGTAGGGAATGGATGAAGCCAATAACGAAATACCATCCCGGCATAAATGAAGTGGGGTAGTATTTTCAATGCTACTATTGCTTTTGAAATGTTCGCCTTTATATTTCACGACTTGTTCGACGTCCCGAAAACTTACCAAAACCTTCATGGTGCCTGGCTTGGTCGGCTGCAGATGGACCAGAGAGGAAGAGTTGTCTTCTGCGACTGGTGACTTCCCTGGTGCTTCCATTCGTATATATATCGCAGGGCGAAGCTGTGCGCGACCGGCAGCCGGCCGGCGAAACTCGCCTTTGGGGAGGGGAATGGCCCGGGGTGAGATCGCGCCGGTAGTATTCAGGACATAGCGATCGCGACAGGAAGACGCTCCCTTTTTTCGCACATGCGTTTTTTTCCCCCGCATAGTTTTTGCCTGGTGCGGATAATAGGATAGGCCCCCTGGCTCATTGCCAAACACCGGGTGTCAGTGTGGGCGCGGCTGCGGCTGCTTTCTCGATTTAGGCCCCTCTTTAGGGTCCTGTTGCCGACAGCCTGAAGCTGAAATGTGCGAGGATAACATTAACGACCACCTGGGTGTGTGTAGTGTTGGATGATAAAAATAATCGCGAGTCGTCGTAGCACAACAATAATTAAAACTAACAACAAAACTGACAAGCATCAGCCCACACATGATGTCTGACACTTACATGTGTTAGACATATGAATATCACACATACAAGTGTAAGACCATAATGGTGAGACATATATGAGATACACGTGCGTATTGCGATTACAACTGTTACGCTGTATCACGCTTGAGTTTCCAGAGAACGTTTTTAATGCGATGCATGACGCGTGGCACGACAACTATCGCACGCACAAACTGCGTCATACGTCGTCACCGCCTGTGCTGCGCACTATTAGGCGCCACGCAGGGCAACAATGAGGCGGCCAATTATTGCGCGATATCTGAGAACGCCGCCGCCGCCGCCACTGTTTGCTACTTGTAACACGTGCACACGGTGGAGTGTTGTGTTGCACGCACACACGCGTCTCTGCACCTTCATATAAACCATCGCCGTCCTAGTATTGGCGCGCGAAATACGAAGCCATTGTGTTATCACAGAGGCAAAGGGGGGAAATGATTATATTGTGCGGAGCCAAGTTTGTGTGACAACCCAAACGCCGCGCAAACAGCAGCGCTCGCGACTTTCCATATCCGCGACGCGATTACACTGTGAAAACAATATCTGATCTTCATTTCCAGGGAAAAATAGGAAAAACACGAAAGGGACTATTCCCACATTTGATGAAAAACTCCTCAGGCTTTATTGAGATCTTCTCAAAAAATGAGGGGAAGGAGACTTTCCTTAAAATCTGAGCAGTTTTTTCTCAAGTGCGGGGGTTTCCTCAAAGTTTTCCCTTTTTCCTCAAAAATAAAAGACTACATTGTTTTCATTGCGGACAGAGCAAAATGGGGAGGAGTCAAAGAGTGTGTTGCATATCCACGGAGCTTATCCATCAAAAAAAGTCCAACAGTGATACGTCTCTGTCAATTCGTTTTTGAGGCAGTCTTCTTTCTATAGTTTCTTCTTGCCTGCATAGAGCAGAAGGGCCGCGTGTGTGTAAGGAGCGGAACACGCGCAGTTGCTCACAGAACTAGATTTACGACGGGTTTCGCGGGTGCGGTGGGGCTGCCCCTCGGGCCTCCGCCGCCCTCTGCATACAGCACACCAGCACACGGTTGCAAGCTTTCGCACCGCCGTGTGCAAGCTGCTCGGCTTGCGCATGCTCTGCGCACGCATGCGGCTCATACGGGTCGCAAACACGTTGACACCCACGCGTCACTCGCAGCAGTGAGTGTGTCACTCTGAGTACTACTTGGTCGCTACTACTTAGCCGCTTCAGTCGTTGAGCATGTTTGCCGTCGTTGAGGCGAGAGAGACTTCGCCGAACGCCGCGAAGACCGCGTTACGGTATAAGGTAGCGGACACACCTTGCAGTGTGACGAAGATTAACGAGTTATTGTCCGTCGCCTTTACGCGCTGCGCACACAAATGAAAGAAATGAACATTGGGATAAAGGAATCATTTCGCCAAAAAAAGGTGGGAAAAGTAAACATTTTCCCGTGCGATTCGAGCACACTGCCGAGCGCCGATTGAGTCACCGGGGTACCATCGTGTCGTGCGTTCCCTCCGGTTCCCTCGCGCGGGACGTCGCAGTTGTGAACCTTGATATGATTATTACCTCATTGCTTCCTGTGGAAAGGCGAAGGCCCGTGGAAATGAGGCAATTACATCTCATTGCAATGGAGCTGGGCTCGACAGCCCCTCCCCGAGCGATCGACTGACTGACTGGTTGCCTTCGCTCAGCCTACAATCACCCGCGAAGCTGAGCGAGGCAATTTTACGGTTAAATTTAACACGATCGGGCGCTTTGAGAGAGGCTGCGAGCGGCTTTGATGGTGGCTTTGAGCCCCGGCAACGCCATGGGAGCGGAAGTGGGGGAGGTGGCTGCGGGCAGCCTATAGCAGTCCTTTACTTCCTTTCTTGTCATCTCGTTTTAGTGAAGAAGTTGCGAATGAGTCGCTTGCGAGGGTCAGGAGTTGACGGTGCTCGTTTTATATGTCGAGTATATCAGTAAGTAGGTGGGTGCGTGAGAGCCATAGGGGGAAGAGGTAGGGCGTGGGGAGGGGGGCAGAGAGAGAGAGAGAGAGAGAGAGAGAGAGAGAGAGAGAGAGAGAGACGTCACGGAGCATGCGCGGCCACGCAACGTCTGGTGCTCTGGTCTCAGGGCCGCTGGCCGGCTCAAGGACGAGGAGCTGTGCTTTCAAGGTCGCCGCCACGCCGCGCCGCGCCCCGCCACGCACAACGTCTGGAATTCAAATAATCTCCAGGGCTTTACAAGGGCCACGCAGCGTGGAAGCTCATCGTCGTTACCAAAAGCGAAGGGTAAAGAAATATTCGCCCGTAGGGTGCTTCAGCGTCGGGGTCCTCTATTTGCTCGTCAAGTTCGATGATGGGGGTGGGAGCGAGAGAGCAATTGAGAGAGAGACAGAAGGAGAGAGAGAGACAGACAGACAGAGAGAGGGAGGGAGAGAGGGAGAGAGAGGCCTGTCCCTACGCACTGACCTACTATCCCGTGCCATCCCCCGCCACGCCACGCCACGCCGGTCGCGACAGCCGCATTGCCTGGCATTGGCCTACTGCTCGAGTAAATTCGAGTACTGCGTGACCTGCCAGCTCAGCTCTGCTCGGCCTTTCACTCGCCAGTTTCCTTCGCCGGACCATAAAAGCAATAATGACGACGACAAAAAAAAAAGTTTTAAAACAGATCTCGGGGGTGACGGTAAAAATGGGGAATGTCAAACACTAAACGAATGGCGATCACCTCTCCAATCTCAAGGTCGGGGCTTCACATAAACTGCTTGCTATCCAAAACTTACTTTTAATACGCTATTGCTTTAAGTACAACATTTTCTCGTAATTCATTTCTTCTTCTTTTCGCCCGAGCAGTCTTACGGGGGTGATTTAGTGGCATACCGACGACGGTGGTATACGAGGAGCAAAATTTATCGACTTTTCGAAGGCCGCATCACAACTACACTAGTATCGTACCTTCTTCGTTATTTATGTCTCTCTGGCTGCTCTTCTCTTGGGCGATTTGCAGCAGCAACGGCAGAGCGGCAGTAGCGCTCGAGGAGTGGCAGAGGCAGCAACAGGGCAGTGCCATCGCCTTTGTCCCCCCCCCCTTTTCCCATCTTTCCCTCCGTGCCATTGAGTGATTAGCTGCTGGGCGTGCTGCAGTTGGCAGCGCTGCCCCGGGCGGAGGGGGGCAGGCGCCCCATTAAATATCAATTATTCTAAATCCGAGGAATTCCCCGTCTCCTCCAAGGTGGGAAGGCGCAGAGGCAACGTCAGGAGAGGCGTTGGGAAGCACGTCAGAAAGCGCTCGAGGAGAGGAGTCGGAGTCGGGGGGATGGAGCATAGTTTTAACCCCCTGCTCCCCCCTCCCAACCCGAATTCTTTGTAAAGCCGAACCCACTCACCGCAATTACGGTGCGATGAGCAGACAAAATACGGCAGGGGTACTTGAACTTTGTAACCTTGTGCTGTATGAGAGCTGTGTTGGGGGATTAAGTTCAATACACACTTGGTTTTTTAAAAAAATGAATCGAAATAGCGAAATAGGCATGTCACTAAATTTAAAGTGTTCTTAGTTTAAAGAAGTCCTTCTTCGTTTGCAAATAAACATTTTTATGTTCTTCGAAATCAGTATACGCACCTTTTCCTCGAACAAAAGCACGCCGAGTTTGATCAAACAGTAATTAATTTCTTCCGGTCGACGAAATGAATAAACTTTAAACTCTATATGAATATACGATGAAACGAAACGACCCTGCGGGTGTTGTGGCTATCATGTATCATTCTCTCCCCAGCCGTCGGCCGTCCCGGCTGGTGCACTCTGTGCGCCGCGTGCTCGCAGGTCGGCGTATGGAATCAGAGAACATTGCGACATTTATTGATTCGCCCAACTCGGCTCTCATTTTCCGCGCGACCCAGTCCGCCCCGCCCCGCCCCGCCTCGCTCAGCCGCGGCCGCTCGGCCGTGCCAGCTGGCCCAGCTGGGCAGTGCGCGCCCCTCTCTGGTAAATCGCTGCTGCTGCTGCTGCTGCAGACTCAGATGGTTGGACGGGCACGACCCATAGGGGAAGAGAAGAGTAAAACCTCGGTGGTGGGCAGGGCCCTCGCCTCTATCCGCGCCTGTGAGTTTCGTTTCGTCATGATGTTGAACCCTTACCCCCCACCCCCTTTGCCACACCACTACACACAGCAGACACACACACACACACACACACACACACACACACAGTGGGTAATGCAGTGCACCGAGTTCAGGAGCGGCTGCAAGGAAGATCGAGTGGTGGTGCTGCTGCTGCTTCTGCAAGGGAGCTAACGGCAGTTAAACTGCGCAGGCTGCGCAATATTCGGACAGTTTCGATTACAGGAAGAGGAGTTTGGAGTCTCTACTCCAAGCGACCCGCACCCGCCCATTCATCCACTGGCGACACGAGCTGGAGCTGGAACGACTCGCCAAACCAACAGACACAAAGAAATAAACTGTTATATGCATTTTTTGTGCACTTTTGTCTGCAGATTTCCAGAAAAATAATTTTCAATTACAAATTTTCGAAAGACGCATCTCGTTAAAAAACGATATTCTAGAGGGTTCATTGTATGCGTACTGCAGCAAGGCAGCAAAAACCGTCGGACTATAGATCTCTCAACAGTTTGAATAACTTTTGTAAAAAGTCAACAAACCGTTGTGAAACAGGACAAATTTTTGCAGGGTGTTCGTTTCACTCGCCTTCTACTCTTGACTGGTAAGATTGTCACATTTCCAAGGAGGCAGCCCGGGGCACTCTTTTGCAGTTCGTTTGAAAAAATAGAACGCTGTCAGAGAGGGGAAGCCACCACATCTGATATGAACAAGTCAAATATTAATCACAAGTTCTTCAGGGATGCGGCAAATTTCAAACTCTGGCCGCCGGGGGGGTCCTGGCACACTGGAATCTCGCAAACAATCGCTCTCGTGCGGTACGGGGGCTTGGGGCGCGGCCGGGGCCTCGGCTGGAGCCTCGGCTGGAGCCTCGGCTGGACGGACTTCTCCACCAACAGCTGAGGCCCGAGCCCCAATTATCCGTTCCTTTCTGTCCCCCTCGCCCTGAGCTCCTCTCCAACATGCTTCACCAGTCCCCCCGACCGAGTGGCAGTTTCCAGTTATACTGTGCTACTCTGAGCAGCCGAGCACCGGCTTTACTACATCCGCGCCCGGGGGACCGGAGGTGGGGCGGGGCGGGGTGGGGCGGGGATTTTGTCACACAGCCCTGAGAAATATTGTGCCCAACGGAACTCGACCTCGCGGTGCCGCGCAGTCCGCGGGCGCTGGGGCACACAAAGTGCGTGCTTCTTGTCGTCGTCGCTAAATAAGAAAAGACTAGCTTATGGGGAGCCGTAGACGGCATGTCCTCAGTTTTACGTGGCTGGTTATGTTTTTGATTGCACGGCACCTTGTTCATGTCTGGTAAACGGAGGTGTTGAGATGCCACAATAAAAGTGTACCGTGATATATTCCAGTATGGGCTGCGTTCAAGATAAAAAGTTTACTCCAACCTCTGCAAGGGACGTTTTTCTGTGCCATCTCGTGGCTGTGGATAGGTCGCGATCGGTCGGGGTCGGAGAGAGGTTCCTGACATAGAGCCCGGATGTAGAGCGAGCGATCGAGTAGGATGCAGAGATCCCAGAAAAGCACAGAAATAATTCAGCGCGTTCTGGATTCAGATTCAAATGACCCGCGCTCGCTCTCGCGCGCGGCGCTACCCTTTCCGCCTGGGTGACGCTGCTGGTGCGCCCTCGCGCTATTTGTTTCCAGACGATATGAGGTTTCGACACGATGCATTGCATGTGTTCCTCCCGACTAGAGAGCGCATGTAGGCGAGTGTATTTGTGTTGGAGCCTGCACATGTGTGAGTGTGTGCTAAGACCACGAATCTGCCCGAGCTGGACGCATGCCGAGCATTCAGGATGACGGTGGTGGTGGATGGGGCCGGGGCTGGGGCCGGGGCCCCCGGGGCCCGGAGCGTCGGCAGCAGAGCGCTCGTCTCCATCATGCAGACCCTCGCTCAGGCGGCCGAGCTGCCGCAGAGTGGGGCGGGCCCAGCAGCAGCATAGCAATCGCACTGGGTTCAAAAGTCAGCTGCGAGGGAACGGTGGA